AAATTCTCGTCCCTTATGATTCTTTTGAATATAAATTAATTTATCTTTTTAAATAGTTTTTATGTTGTCTTCAATTTTTGATTTTAAATTTATATTATATTAAATTAGAAGAATATGTTCCATTTAATATGAAACCCATAAATTGTAGCCTTCAGGATTATGAGATCATCGCTAATATATTTTAAACAAAGTAAAAAAAAGATTTCATTGATTCTATGACTATTTATTGCTTCAATAAATTTATTAAAACAAATATATAAAAATCAAAAAAATTGAGAAAATATAAAAATCTTTAGATTTAGATAATTGTTTAAAATTAAACTTTAAGAGAAAGAAATGTTTTTTTTTAATGATGTTGAATGTGTTATATATAAGTTTGAATAAACTACAAATTTGGTCCCCATGGTTTAGTGTTTATAACACGTTTGTTTCCTACAGTTCCGAAATTCCAAATTTGTCACTGTAGTATGTAAAATGACCAGATTGAGTCCCGAGAGAGAGAAAGAGGACAAATCAAATACAAACTATGGAAAGATTACAAACCATACAAACCAATCTCAACCGTTCATCTAACCTAACAAATATTTGGTTTAATAAATATATCGATGATTTCCTAATCGTCTTTCATAAGATATTCAAATCATAATAAATGAACTTTCATCATTTCCATAAATATCTTAATTGATTGGTTTGGATGGTTTGTAACATTTCCGTAGTTTGTATTTTATTTGTCCTATATATATGTATATATGTTTTTATGCATGTGCATGATGAGATAATGTGTGTGTGTGTGACTCTTGTTAATTATGTATATATGGATATGTGTTGTATATATGTTTTTATGCCATCTAAACTCATCAAGTCCCATTACAATTCATTAAAAGCCACCATTGATGTTGATCTTATTGGGCTTTAATAAGTCACTCTTGATGTTATCGGGCCTTAATAAGTCATAATAGAGTCTTATTGGGTTATAATGGATCTAAATGGTCTTATCGAATCCAATAGACATCACATTCATATATAGTTGGTCTTAGTGAGCTTCAATGGATCAATTAAGCTTTAATGGATCTGTTGGGCTTTATTCAGTATCACTGGGCTTTAATGGGTCCTAACAGGCTTTAATGGGTCCTAACAGGCTTTAACGAGTTATACTGGGTTTTAATAGATCTTAGTGTGCTGCAATGGTTTCATTGGGCTTTAATTAATCAATTGAGCTTTATTCAGTATGATTGGGCTTTAATGATTTATATTAGGTTTTAATAAATCTTAGTGGACTGTAATAGTTTCATTAGCTTTTATTCAATATCATTGGGCTTTAATGAGTTATATTGAGGTTTAATACATTCTTACAATGGGTTATATTGGACTTTAATGAGTTATATCGGGTTTTAATAAATTTAAGGGGCCGTTTACCAAACACTTACCCGGTAAATGCTTACCCGTAAAATTTAACACTATTATTTACTTATCGAGTAAGATTTTAGTCCACAAAAACGACATCCTATGCAACAATTTACCCGGTAAGCTCTTACTATGGTAAGAGTCGTCGCCCTCACTTACTGGGTAAGACTCATGGTACTTGTCTCGCTCTTACTGGCTAAGATTCTTGGTCCTTACCATATTCATCCGGTGAGATAACACGACTTGGTAAGCGCTTACCCTTGTAAGTGACTGGTAAACGGCCCCTAACTTCTTCTTAATAAGTCATTTTAACATCTTTAGATAAGACACACGTTTTGAATCCTCTAAACATAAAATCCCATTAAGTTGGTCCGAACATACATCAACAGTTAACAAAAGAAATCCATAATAATCTATACTATCTTATAAATCAGATTTTTCAAAAGTCTTAAAAACAATTTTTAATGCACAAAGTACTATACATTTATGCACAAAGTCTTAAAAACAACTCATAATGCATTAAGTACTAATATTATATGCATTTAGTCTTAAAATCTCTTAATCTACATTAAAATAACATATAGTACAAGTTACCAATGCACATTACTACTTTTTTTCTTCTTCATGTTTCCAAGATACTTTTGATACATTTCGCTCATGTCTTCACCTTCTCATACCTCTATGTCTTCTCCTCATCCCCCAAGGTGAGATTCAAATTGATATTCACCATGAGTTATTAAAAGTCATCTCATTTATCTCTCATTTAATTGCTCTAGAACTCTCGGTTTCGTTCTCTTGATTCTTTGCTCTCGGTGTAAATTGAACATATTTGTGGAGTCGTTTAAATATATTGGATTTTAAATTGTCATACAATTTTTTTCATCGATAAACTGTTATTGGAATCATAGCTCTTATTTATTCAAATTGTATTAATATGTAAAGACTAAGTGTAATTTATATCATCGTTAAATCTTTTCTAATAAAACCAATGAAACTTCAAAATCGTTAAATTTCACGGCTCTCCGCCGCATTGCGCGTGTACACAACTAGTACATTAATACTGATAAACATAAATAGAAAGATTCTTAATTAATCTTGATATCATTCATTGAAATTCAAAGTTATACACATGATGATGAATTAGGGTTGGAATTGGGAAGGGGGTGACGCCACATCAAGTTTCCTAACCTTCATAGGTGGCCGCACATGTACAGGTGGCTTGGGACATGGAAAATAGCAGCGGCACCACATGGCTCGACATTCTGCAAGGGGAGCTTCTCCGAAGATATCATGCCCGTGTTCCTTAACGCATACAAAATTACATGCATATATATCACAAGGAGCTAGAAAATGATCCTTCCTGCAATCTTTTGCTTGACCCATCACCAACTCCATACCTGCACATTCACAAACCTACTCATCACATGCTCTCTTTAACGGTCTAATTGTATGAAAAAACGACCTAGTTTGGTTTGGTTTGGTTTATGTTTTGTGACGCTTTCGTTTTCGTTCCTTACATACGAAATCTCAAATATTTTAGACAAGAATACATATTACACAAAGCTAAATGAATTGGAATGAAATGTTATCAGGTTTGATCAAGTGTTTGATTGACATGAATGGAATGTAATATGCTTAATGAATTGTAATCTGCATGTTTGGTTTGCAACAGAATTAGAATGGAATAATGAAAAATGACAAAAATACTATTTTTTTGATATTTTTTTAAAAAAATTATTATTTTTAATTACAAATAACAATAAAATTATGAAGGAAGAGGGTATTTTTGTCATTTATACAATTTTGGATGAAATGGATTTCAATTCCATCACTTTTACGAAGGAATGGTGAAATCCTCAAATGATGGAATGTTTGGAATTCGATTCCATTCCATGGCTAACCAAACGTTGAAATGGAATTTGGTCAACGGAATTGACCATTCCAATTCCACCAGATTCCGGCGAATTCCAACGAACCAAACACCCCCTAAATGTTTGAGATGTCAAATATGAGATACCAAAATGAATGGTTTTTAATTACGCTATATAAAATAAAGTACGTTACATTTTCATGCAATTAGCTATAAAATATAGTAATTTAGTAGTGAAAACAACATATTTTCTAGCAAAGTTTCACCGTTTTAACAAAAATATGACAAAGACAAAGTAATTTATTTATGTAAACTTGACAAATATCTCCACTTAAATCAAGAAAATATAGTTGAAAATTACCGGTGATGAAGAAAAATACAAGAAATGTAGTGAAAACCAACGACTTCGCCATGTAAAGTTGGTGTGGTGAGTGAGTTGTCGATATATTATGTATATATAAAGTTGGTACTGTGTTGAGTGAGTTGTCGATGTATTATGTATATATAGGAGACGAAGGGTAAAATCATTCCATGTTGATTAAAACTGTATTTATTGTTGGTTTAATTAATTTTTTTAATATGGCATACACACACATATACGGTAATATTTCATTATTTGTTGACATATGTGGTAAAAGATATTATGTTGTGTTAATAATCCTTTTGCTTCTGTCTATTTATAGTTTTTTTTAACGGTTGAATAGTTTTAATTATGAGATTTATAGATTACTAATCAAATTAAAAAAAGTGAACTAAAAGTATTTTGTGTTTATTGTAATTTGTTACAGATGAAAATGACAATTTAAAGAAAAATGTTATGTTATTAAAATTTATTGAATGTGACATTTGGTTCGCTTGATTCCAATTGAATTTGAAGGACTTAGGATAGAATAATTCCATTGATCCAATTTCATTAATTCATTTTGTTCATTTTTTGAGTTTTAGTACGAAATTTCAGTTCCACATATGACGAATAGTACTGATATATTTGTCTTTGTTTAGCTGACTCGCTCGGGATATCCTAGTTCCCTGACTTCTCGTGATGAGTGCAGCAAACGGTCTTGTTTGTTTTTGTGTGCTTACTAAGTCTTTAACGAAGGGAGAAGGACGAAGTGACTCTTCTAACTGCTTTAGTTAAGAGTGCTGCTTTCTTTCCAGCTACTGCTGTGAACGGCTCCTTGGTGGAAGAGTAGAAGCGTTGGTCCCTTTCCAAACCCGCCCTATCCCTTAAAGTTCAAGAGCCAAGCTTGAAAGCAATATGCTGCCTTTATGCTCAAATATAAATGAAATTTGTGCTCGAAGGCATGCATGGGATTCTTCCTCTAGACTTGACTCTTTTCTTTAACAAAAGAACGTAATTCTCCCTCGTGTTGCGGGAATGGTGTGTTCGTCTCTGCCTGTTCAAAAAGTGACATTCAATGGTCTTAAAGGAGCAGCTATCTGCCTGACTGGAAATCCAAGCTCCCTCCGATGAATGATTGTTTGTTCTTGCATGGTTACACGAAATTTAAATTCCTTGGGGTATTAGTAAAAATTTCCAATATCATTTTCCTTTTTACCTTCTTTTACTCTAATCCATTACATTCCATCACCACTATTGCCCCTACGCCCACCACTATCGACATCATCATCGTCGCTAGCACCACCTTTGTTGCCGCTACCGCCACCACCACCATGGTCGTCATCACTGCCACCACCACTACTGTCGTAGTCTTCACCACCGCCGCCATCACCATCATCATCACCTCCACCACTATTACTCTAGCCACCACCACTATCAATTAATAGTATTATTAATTTTATCATTATATGATATTTATAATTTAAGAAATAAAGTATGAAAATATTATAAAGGGTATTTTGGTAATATGATTTTATTTTAATTACAATTTCAAAGTTATATTCATTAAACCAAACAAACAAATTATAATACAATTAGCAGATTTTATTCCAATTTCTACAAATCAAACACATAATCGAACCATTAAATTACGTTTCAATTCCAATACTTTTGACGCATTTCCATCATGTCAAATTTCATTATTTAAATCAAACACCACCAAAAAGAAAAAGAATTGGATGGAAGTTATGTGGTCAACTCCACAACATTGGTTAACATGAGATGTTGCAATTCAAATTTTCTCTAAAATTTCATACATGGATTGTAGGAATTATATTTTCAATTAAAATTAAAGTTTTAAAAAAATTATTGTTGAAAATTTAAGAATTATGTATAACTTTAAGAGTTGCACAACCTTCAACGTCTAATATGATATTAAAAATTAAATAATTTTTATTATTATTTATGAAACA